TACGCATATAGCCATGGTAAGGCAAACCCAAAACCAGTTTGCTAGCAGGAAATGAGTTGTTTAGCCATTGCTTTATACTATAGCTTTGTTTAGCAAAGCTGAGCCTTGAGATAATGAATCAATTAGACATGGTATGCATTTATGTTCTAGCTATGTTCATTCATGTGCGCTTAGGGTTGAGGGAAAATTTATGCATTGTTTGTGTGTGTTGCATGTGTATACAGAGGTTGCTTATCTTCTTAGGTGCCTTTTGTCATATTTCCTCAAATCAGTAAAATATTTAAATATTCACTAAACAAATAATAATTAAAACATAATTACTAATTAAAGTAATTTAAAAAGCTAAGATATTACTTAACTACATATATCACTTCCTATTTTTTTTCAAAAGATACTAGCCTCTTTCATGCGCTTCTGCGCCTGTGGGAGGTTTTTTTTTTTATAAAAAAAATTAAATTTATTTCAGAATTAAAAAAAGATAATGGGTAGTTGTGTTCCTTAAAAGGAGGATCCATTATCTTATTTTTCTTTTAATTTTAAATTTTTTATATATGAAAAAGTGTGAATTTACCATATTATCCTCATTTAATTAATAATTTCAATTCTTAATGTTTGCATTAACCAAGAGCATTTTCTGGTATTTTGAATGTTTCACCATTTTCTGCTTTTTGCTTGATATATATAGATAATATCGCCGAGCGGCTATACTCGTTTTTTCTAATTTTTATTTAAAGAAATAGTATAAAAAGGAATATTAAAGCCGGTCGGCTATACTCGGTTTGTTCCAATTTTTTTAAAAAGAAATAGTAACGCCGGGCAGCTATACTCGGGTTTTTCCAGTTTTTTAAAAAGAAATAGTATAGCCAACCGGCTATACTCGGGTTTTCTAATTTTTTTTAAAGAGAAAGAGTATAGCCGACCGGCTCTACTTTGTTTTTTAATTTTTTAAAACAAATAGTTTAGCCGACCGGCTATACTCTGGGTTTTCAATTTTTATTAAACAAATAGTACAGCCGCACGGCTATACGCGTTTTTTAATTTTTTAAAAGAAGTAGTATAGCCAACGGGCTATACTCCATTTTTTCAACTTTTTAATATAAATAGTATAGCATTACGGCTATACTCTGTTTTTACTAACTTTTTTATTAAACAAATACGCTATACTCTTTTTAAAACTTTATTGTTACAGAAAGCGTATAGCCGCGCGGCTATACTATAATTTTTCTCTTTTGTTAAAGAAATGTTATAGCCGTGCGGCTATACGCTGTTATTTCTAATTTTTTTATTATAGCTATACTCGTTTTTAAACTTTTTTACAGAAATAGTATAACCTTCCAGCTATACCCTGTTTTTTCTAATTTATTTATTTTTTATAAAAGAGGCTATACTCGTTTTTTCCTACTTTTTAAAAAGAAATAGTATAGCTGGCCGGCTATACTCGGTTTTTTCCAATTTGTTTAATAAAAGAAATCGTGTAGCCGCACGGCTATACACCTTTTTAAATTTTTATTTAAATAAATTATAGTAAAATATTATATAGTGGCCGTGATATCTATAAAGTATAAACTAATGCAACTAGGAGGGTCCCTTTTTCATAATGTTTTTTTATTAAATAGTATAGCCAATCGGCTATACCATTTAAATATAATGTATTTAAATAATATAGCTGCCTGGCTATACTAGTATTTGGTTAGGAGAGGTCTAATACGGCAAGTTTCGCCGGGATAGACATGTGCCGAGGTAATTTCGTCGGGGAGGTTTAAACAAATATATATAAACTTAGCATGTTTATGTTAATTAATTTTTTTAATTTTATTTTTAGTAATTAAATAATATCTCTTCCTTATTTAATTATTTAAATTATTATTTATTTAGTGAATAATTAGTATTAAATGTTTTAATTAACTTCACGAATTATATCACTTAATAAATAATAATTCAATTTATCTATTTTTTTTCCTTTAATATTCACTAAGTAAATAATAACTAAAACATAAATACTAATCAAAGTAATTAAAAAAGAGAAAACCATATTATGCTACTTAAAAGGGTATAGCCGTGCGGCTATACGTTTAAAATATTCTATTTTTGGCGTATAGCCGCGCGGCTTTACGTTTAAAATATTCCATTTTTGGCGTATAGTTGCTCGGCAATACATTTAAAATATTATATTTGTAGAGTATAGCCACTCGGCGATACATTTAAAATATTCTATTTTTCCCATTTCAGAATATCTTACATTATTAGTCAAATGAAATTTTTTAACAGATACCTCAAAATCATACTTAAATTTTTTATTATTTGATTTCCTTATCTATTATGTTACATTATTAGTCAAATGAAATTGCAGATGAAGCCTGTTCTCATGTTTGAGCATTTCCATTGTTGAACCAGGTTGCAACCTTGGCCCCCAATGTCCCAGACACGTATGAGCTGCATTTTGCAGTTCCAATGACGGGCAGTTCTTTGCACACTAAATGCACGCCTTGATTCAGCTATGTTATCTGTCCTGCTGCAGAGTCATTCCGAGGCGAGAATCATCTTTGTAGACTACCAGTAACTTGAAATTGCCCAAGGAACACTTAATCTTCTCACCCAAAAAACAGATACAAAACCACCTATTCTTGTTTTAATTGCTATTTCTGAGGGGTCATCTGACACATCTCCCACCATATGCACTTCAAACACCTATGAATATGAAAGTCTTCTGGAAACAGGAGATGGTGGATTTGAGATAAGAAGGCCAAGGAGTGAATGGGATCCTATCAGTGTAAATTATACCTCCGGCACAATATCCAGGCCAAAACAGGTTGTTTACAGTCACCGGGGTGCTTATCTTAACGCGTTGTCTACGGTTCTGCTTCATGGAATAGGTTCAACGCCTGTTTATCAATGGACTGTGCCTATGTTTCACTGCAATGGGTGGTGCCTCACTTGGGGGGTGGCTCCTCAGGGTGGAACTAACATGTAGAAAAAACTAAAAACTCACGGCAGCAAACTCACAAACAACAAACAGACCAAACACCAAATGATGGCACGCAGATGAAACCCAAAGAAAATCAAGCAAGAAAACGCCACTTCCTCGCAAGGTGGAAATAATGACGGGCGGTTCACCACCCCTCCACAGATCCTTTTCAAGATGGAAGAATTGGGGTTTGGAGTAAATCACTTTTATGGTCTAACAGATACTTATTGTCCAGGGACTTAATGCTGATGGAAACCAGAGTGGGATTCTCTGCCCTCCATTGAAAGATCAAAGCTTAAAGCTCGACAAGGGGTGCAGCATCTTGGTTTGGAAGAGGTTGACATAAGAGATCCTGTCACTGTGGAAAGTGTAACACCTGATGGTAATTCAGTGGGTGAGATTATGTTAAGGGAAACACTGTTATGAGTGGTTATCTTAAAGACTAGAAAGCCACAAAGGAAGCTTTACGAGGTGGATGGTTGCGGAGCGGGGATCTAGCTGTGAAACATCCAAATAATTACATCGATCGAAGTGAAGGACCGGTTGAAAGATATAATCATATGTGGGGGAGAGAACATAAGTACAGTTGAGGTGGAAACAGTTTTGTTTAGCCATCCAGCAGTTCTTGAGGCTGCAGTTGCTGCTCGCCCAGATAACCATTAGGGGCAGACTCCTTGTGCATTTGTGAAATTGGAGGGATTTGATCATCTGAATGCTAAAGACCTAATCGAATTCTGCCCGGATAATTTGCCTCATTATACGGCTCCCTGGACAGTAATTTTCAATGATATATCAAAAACTGCAACCGGAAAGATACAGAAATTTATTCTCAGAGAAAAAGCAAAGGCCAAGGGAGCCTCTCTTGAACAAGCTGTAACAAGTGTAATTAGAAGGTAACCTGTTGGCTCCTTATCTATTGCAAGAAAGGAAAATTTTAATAAACCAAGCTATACCATTGCATCTATGTATGCTTAAGGTTCTCTATTGAAGCTACACTAGCATTGCTGTTTGTTGCAAATTATATCAAGGGAGCAGGAAATAGTACACCATAGCTCATGTAGTGGGATGTGCAGGATGTTGATGGACATCAAGGCGGATAATGTAGGGATTAACAATCGAACCGCAGTAGAGGTAATTTCCAATCTTGATCCCACTTGTAATGAGAAACAACTCAGGATCAGAATAGTGAGCAGTAGGTTCCCCATTCAAATTCACGGCCAACACACCAGCATTCTTCTCCAAATGCGGTCTGTCTGCTGCATACCGCTTCAGAATTGCCAGAACCTTTCGAATAAAAGGATATCTAAGTGCTAGATCCAAGTATGGTGTAACCTCCTGACAATTTGGCATACAAAATGTCAATAAACCATGAAAAAAAAAATGCATCCTTGTTCCATTCAAAACAGAACAACTGATGTGATTTTTCAGAAAACAGAGAGAAAATGAAGATCACCGTGGTCAATGCAATCCAGTACTGGCCTTCCCCATCATATCTGATATTATCAGGCAAGCCTGGCAAATGGTCAATAAAATTTTCTACACTCCCTTTTTTACTGCCTTGTAGATAGTATTTTCTACACCTTCTCCTGCAATATTAACCATTTAAGGCAGTAAAAAACTTTGTCCATACTTTCAGATTTAAAAGAAAAAAAAACATAAGTCTTTAAGTTCTAAGAACTTACATGACAGTTTCACAGAAGACAACGAAGTTTTGATCTGGAGAGACTGCCACTCCGTTGGCAAAGTAGAGGTTGTGGACCAGAACTTTGGTCTCTTTGGTTGTTGGGTTGTAGCTCATCAATCTGCCATGGGGTCTGCCCCCTAAAATATCTGAGACGACGTCTTTTAAGCTGTATTTGTGTGAAGCATCTGTGAAGTAAAGCATGCCATCTTGTGCTACATCTACGCAGTCTGTTAGCTTGAATTTTACACCCTCGGCCTCATCTGTCAACAGTTCTACTGTTCCGTCCTCACTTATCTTCAATAGCCCCTGATTGAAAAAAGAAAATAATAACAAAAATAAAACAAAAAGAAATATTGATATAATTATGAGGCCACCTCCTTCTTACAATATGCACACGAGATCAGGACTCGTCTTGCTCGTTGACATGAAAAGGACTACCTAGTTAAATCATAACAAGCGTTACATAACACCCTACGAGTTTTGTCAGTGAGAAGCAAGTTTCTATACGAGTTTTGTTCATAAGACCTTACTCTCAGAAAAATTCATGTCAGGTTATATGTATAAGTAATGAGACAGTACTGATGGGTTACAAATTGTTCTCCGCGCGTACACCGTAGCAGCGGGACCACGTGCATGTTCTATGAAACTAAAACCAACTTGAGCATTGATTAATTTTAGTTAATAATTCATGGGTGACCAATTTTTGTACGTTTTTGTTTTTGGTTATGAAAAGTTTAGGAAGAGATCGATTACTCTCACCACAAGCACTAGGGCATACTCGCAACCTTGAACCGAAAGGACTTATGAGTGGCACCCAAGTGCCAGTTGCCATCAGTATGGATTTATGTATTAAATTACTGATTGAGCACCAATTAGGATTGCTGGCATGGCAGCGGGACTCGAACACTAGTAAAACTACACACAGTGCATGGACCTTACCAACTGAACCAACCCTCATTGTTACGTTTTTGTTTTTGTTTTGTTTTTTTTGGAGGTAAGAATCCATGTATACTTTGAACTTTGACCAAATAATAAACATGAACAAATTTAATAAGCACTGATATTTAGGATCGAGCTGACCTTTTCTGTGTCAGCCACAAAAACCTCGTTCTTATGGCCGTGAGCGAGTCCAAGCGGCCTCCCACCGGTGAAAACCCATTTCTCCACCACCGAGTCAGCAGCCGACTCGTTCAGCCTGACTCGCTTGACCCATCCATCAGCACAACCCGTGTAAATCAGCCCCGACTTTGAGTCATAAGCCACGTCTTCGGGCGCCAGCAAAGCCCCAGCACCCACAAACTCCGACCCTTTGAGCATGTGGGCATTACGCGTTGGAGCAGCCGCGACTGGCTGAGTCAACTCGTGGAGGGGTAGAGGAGCTGGGTCGAGCGAGTCGAGTTGGTAGATGAGCAGAGCTATTGCCAGTGGACCCAGAACTGAGAAGATAAGAAAAGCTGAGGGCCATGATAATGAAGATGACGAAGACTTTTTGGTTGTGGGAATGGGATGAGTGTGATGAGAGGGTTGGGTTGGGGAAGGCGAGTCGCTTGAGTTGGACATTGTCACGTTCTGAGTTAATAATGGTGTCAACTCGTCCCAGAAAATCGATGGAGGATATGAGAGGAATGATATATAATAGGGCTGATCATAATTTTCAACAGCTAACGTGTTTCTTTTCTTTTGTTTCTTTCAACTCCTTTAATTTTTAAATCAAGTCTTTTGTTGGTTTTCTTTCAACTTTGGTAAGTTAAGGAGGAAGAGACGAAGGCAGGGGCGGCTACCATAAGGGAGCTTCTCCATTGCGAAGTCAAATAATGCTGAGTGATTACGAATTTCTATTTTTGACTGTGAGATGATTTGAATGCTTTTGATTGGATATATATATATATATATAATTTTATTTTCTTCATTCTTCTTCTCCCCGAGTTCAATATTCTCTCTCCCCTCTTTCTTTTTTTATTTCCGTTCCTTCTCTCTCTCTCTCTCTCTCTCTCTCTTTTTTCTTCTTCTTCTTTCTCTCCGACAGATATCTATTCTTCTTCTTTCTCTCCAAAATGTCCAAAATAGCGTCTGTCAAGTTGTACTTGTATGAAGCATCTGTGAAATAAACTGTACTATCCATCGCTACATCTACACCGTCTGGAATTCTAAATTTTACACCCTCCCTTGTTACATTCAGCAGGCCCTGCCATATCATGCACATATACTTTACATACAAGATATTAAAATAATAATGTTCCAAATTGGCCTAACATGTAATTGCATTTTCATGTATAATGTATTATCAATTAATAAAAAAATAGGAAAATACTTCTCTTCTTACTAGATAAATAGGAGTTCCTACATTTCTGCCAATAACAGCAATGTGATGAATTATTTTTACATATGTATCAAACTGTAATTCGTAGGAATGACGAGTATCTCCTTGCCAACATGTGTATCACACATGGACACGACCGTTAATTAACGCTGGGTTGGTAGTTTTCTCTATTGTATGTGTTCAGATTATGGTAGTGTCTGGAGTTTTTATTGGCTGCACTGCATGCTTGCAGAGATTGTGCAGGTGGGGTGGGGTGAGTGAGTGAGTGGTGGATTGCTTTTGCTGGTGACTTATCTTGCGTATATGGATATGGAAGAGAATCAGATGGTTTTTATTTAGACCAAGATTTTTCCCACTAGGGAGCCCACTGACGTGGCATTTGGACCTTAGTATTTTCTTGACCCCAAATGAAGAACAAAGTGGATGGCTCGGACCTAACTAGTAACTACAGCCAATTGCGGAAAATTAAATAAATAATTTGGTTGGTTTGGTTCTTATTTTGGTTTATTTTACCCCTTTGCCAATTTCTTCTTATAATGTAACTTAAGCATCTCCTTTTGTGACACAACTTCTGTATTTCATGTCTATGGAGAACTTAGACTCGAAAAAATCGTTTCATTTTACTACTAATACTATGTCTATTGTTTGAGGGTTTATAACCTTATTATGGTATACAACAAAAATAATAAGTAAATAATCATCCTCAACCCCAATACCGAAAGTTTTCATGTAACCAAAGGTTGTAAAACCAACAAACCTGTTTGCCAATTGTCAAATCAAATGCCCATATCAGGGATTATTGGCCTCCCACAAGATTGGTCTTCTCCCTCACAATTTTTTTTTTAATCTTCCCAGTTGGGCTAGGCAAATTCCCATATATCATAGCTTCCCCCCCCAAAGCAAGGTTTGGACCTCCAGTGCACAAAAGACAGCCTGGACAAGGCATGGGACCCACCAGCTTGGGCAAGCCCACAGGCAAATCCTGCCTGGGCTTAAGCCCGAAGGTGTTGATGTCATGCTGATGTCAGCGAGCGAAAAAAATTCCAAAAAAGTTCTTTTTTTTTAAAAAAAAAAACCAAAAAATTATGGATGTTTTCTTACAAATACATAACAATTTTATTCACTTTCCACACCAAATCCTCATACAAACTCTTCTCCTTCCAATATTTGTAAATTGTAATCATTCTTTTTTCTTGCATTTGTAAATTTTTTATATTTTCTTCCATATTTTTTTTTTCTTGCATAATCATTTTATTTCTTACATTTCTAAATTGTTTATATTTTGTTGCATAATATAACCCACCTAAGCCTATTCATAATACCCCTTCACACGTAATCCCTTTATGTAAGATAAATTTAGCCCACCTCATTTATGTTGAGGGATATATATAACAGAGAAAATGTGTTTCGTACCGCATTATATATAGTAGCTGCTTGTTCCTCAAGCAACATCCATTGCTGGGTATTGTTGAATGTTGAGGCGAAGCATGTAAGGATGGAATACCGAGCCGCAGAAAATGTGATTTCCAATCTTGATCACACTTGAAACTAAAGACAATCCTGGATCATAATAATGTGAAATCAAATTTCCATCTAAATCAACGGCCAAAACGCCACCGTTCTTCTCTACATTGGGTCTCCCTGTATACTTCTCCATAATTCCCATAACTTTTCTGATGAAAGGATATCTAACAGCTAAATCCCAAGCCAATGTAGGTGCCTGCATCAAAAGTTGCACAAAACAAAAACTAGGATTTCAGTATAAGCCCCTTACAAGGAAATGCTTTTTGAAAAAAAAGTGGGAACAGGTTTTATTTACCATTAACAATGCAATCCAGTAATGGCCCTCTCCATCATATCTGATGTTATCTGGCAAGCCTGGCAGCTGATCAATAAAAGTCTCCACACTTCCCTTTTTCTCCCCTTGTACGTAATACTTTCTACATCGCCTCCTATAACATGCACAAACAAAAAAACAATCTAACATGTTGCATTATCACGCTATCAATCTAGATTACACGTTCAAACAATAGAACATCGTAAACTAACATCGTACATGGGGGTTTCACAGAAGATTACGTGGCTTTGATCCGGTGAAACCACGAGTCCATTAGCAAAGTAGAGATCACGAACCAGCACTGTGGTCTGTTTGGTTGCTGAGTCATAGCTCACGAATCTACCATAAGGCCGACCCTCCAAAATGTCCCAAACAAAGTGTTTTAAGTTGTACTTGTATGAAGCATCTGTGAAATAAATCGTACCATCCACAGCTACATCTACACCGTCTGTAATTCCAAATTTTACACCCTCAGCCTCGTCTGTCAGCAGCATCACCTCACCCCCACTTGTTACATTCAGCAGGCCCTGCCATAAATTTCATTTTATTATGCACAACTTGCATCCATACCCTACCTCATATAAGGCCAGTCTTTCTTAAGCAGATACATTATCTCAAAATAATATTCAAGTTTTACACTGATTACATTATTAGTTTTTCCAGTTTCCAAAGATGTCACAAGTTTCTTTGTTCATAATTAAAAAAAAAATAGTAAATTTGGCTTACACCCTTCAAATTCAACTTACCTTACATGCAACCCTTCACTTTTTGTTCCTATAAATAATATCCAATTTTTATAAGGAAAAACCAATGACTAGGATCCAACTCATCAAGTTACCTTATTAAGCTCAATATCTGATTTATTATCATTTTTTTGATTGCCAAAATACCCTTATTTATATTTCAACGTGTAATGGGGTGGTGTTTTAATTTGAGATTTTCTATTTAAACCTCACACTTCTCTTTGTTCACACCAACTTCTAATTTAAATTTTCACAATTTCTAGGAAAACCCCACTATCTTCCCAAACTACCTTTAAATACACCCCAAGCTGAAAAAATAAGCAATAAAAGAGATTTTCTATTTAAACCCCACAACATCTTATTTTATTTTTTACCCCACGGAAAAATGTCAATTATCAAACATTGTTAAACCAACCCTGTATCAGGAAGAGAATGGTCAGGAAGCCACTGGAAGTTGTTCGTTATAGAGCTGGTCCCATAACATGTTATAAACAAAACCAAGACAAATGAAATAGCAAATACCTCCACCCATTCCATCACAAGCACCCTACGAGTTGTGTAATCTAGACACATTTCTAGAACCAAAACATTTGGTATAAATTTTAAATCAAAAATCAAAACAACCAAGCAATCAACAAAGGGAAGAGAATAAGATCATTACAGCCAAACAATCAACAAGCCCTTCCATTAGCTACCATGCAGATTTTAAAGAGGTAGGCTCCTCAATGTTCTACGTCTTTAAAAGAGAAGAGTAATTTGGCAATAGGATGTAGAGGAGTTTGTATTTTTCTAAAACTTAATATGAAGAGTGGTGGGGTGTGTGTATAGATGTACTAGGGTTAAGTATTAAGTTGGATGACCTTTTTTGTCTTTTTACATAATAATAAAACTTACAGCTTAATGATTTAAGTATTGGGGTGAATAAAGAGAAGTGCGGGGTTTAAATAGAAAATCTCTTTAATTTTGGGTTCCCCAATTTATTGTGGTGATTCCCTCTAACAATTTTGTCTGCAATTAATTATCCGTTTTATTATTAAATTCATCAATACAATCAACAATGTCTTGGCCAAAAAAAGCAGTTTTCCTTATTGCCTTTTTGAAATTTTGTTCCATCTTTCATAGATAATAATCTACCTATTTTAGAACTTGAATTTCATTTATTGTACCTAGTTTTTTCAGGGATAATAATCTACTTATTATTTTTTATTATAAATTATTGTGTACCTATTTTTCTATAATAATCTACCTATTATTTTTATTTGTAAATTATTGTGTATCTATATTTTCTATAAATTATTGTGTACCTATTTTCCTGTAAATTTTTTTGGTAAACAATATACCTATATTTGTATACATATATTGTTCGCACCACTTTGCAAAACCCAAGGGAGGTGTCGTATAGCAGTGTAGCTCGGAAGTCCGAGTGTCGTATCCACAGAGAGCAGTGTAAAGAAAATAACAGAGATGAAAAAGAACAATTATGATTGAAAAGTAGATTTATGCAAGATTTGATTTAAAGAAAATTTAATTGATTAAAACACTAAGGCATTGGGTTTCCACTTTTAACATAAGCATGCAACTCTTAATAATTTGATCCACAAAATATTTTCCATTGTAGTTGTTCAAAATAATTAAAGCTCTTTTTAATTTCCTTTAGAAGTATTCTAAGCATAACTTGTACCATTGGCAACAAACTATCAAAAAATAATCTTCATCAAAATTCTATTAATCTTTAGTAATTCTCTTCTCTTTTAAAAGCATGAAAGTTTTTACTACACAATGGGAAAAACATGATTGAACCCATGAAATAGATTATCAAACATTCATCAATTAATTAAAAAGAAAACTACAAATTCCATTTGAACAAAAACTACAAATTCACATTAAAGCTTAAGTTTGGATCAAACTAATAAAAATTACACACTTATATTAAAAGCTTTCTCCCTAGCCTTAGCTAGGGAGTTAGTTCCCCATAA